CATGTGCTTAGTGAGGAAGAGTATAAATCATGAATGGTGATATCGTGTCATTGCATATATATATAGAGAGAGTGTAAAGCACGAAGGGTGATACTGTGCCATTTCATATATATTAATATGCACGAAGGATAATGTCGTACCATTTTTCATATACATTATTATGCACGAAGAATAATGTGTACTATTTTATTATATTATCATGTGAGAATGAGAGTAAAAGCACGAAAGGTGATGTCGTGCCATTATCTATATGTTATCATATTTTCATGGCACAATGGATGTTTCCGTGCAGGCGGGGACGAGAGACATGCATTATATTGTGATATATTTTCCTTGTGTATACGTTTATGCCTTAACTTGAGTTGTCACGGTTGCACCTATATTTTCTATATAATGCTTGTGGTTATCACATCTTTGCCCTTTTCCTTATTTGCTATTGTTCTAGTCGTGCTTTCTATTTGTTACTTATTATACGTTATATCGACCTTTTTGTTTGTTACACGTACATCTATGTCTTTTCTCGTTAGTGTGATCTCGCCTAAACCTTCTACTTCATTAGTTGTTGGAATCTATGTTCTTCTACCTTACTTTTTGTCACTACTTTTGTGCCGCTTATCTCGTCTGTTATTGTTTTTTATATGCTTCCGACTTATTTATTGCTGCTATCTATGTACTCTCTACTTCATAGTTATTATCGTTGGTATTTCTTTTACCTGATTGGTGATGTTATGCATATGCTCGGTGAGGATGAGATAAATACACAAAAGGGTGTTGCCGTGCAAATTGATTCGACATTTATTCATATATTTGGTGAGAATGCACGAAAAGTGTTGTCGTGCCATTTGATTTGATATCTTGAGTAAACTTATCACACTATGAAAGTTCGTGAATTTACTATTTCATTTGGTGGTTATCTCTTTAAGAAAGGGATTGGTTGCGATATTGATAAAACTAGCCTTGATTTCTTTAAGTAATCATTACTGCGTCGCATATTTATTACTGCACTCTTCTCTGTTATTTTTGGTATTATTTCTATTACAAATCTACTGAAACAGGTTATTTTAGTAAGTATCTTTTGACTTAAAAATCTCGTCACTACTTCACCGAGGCTAGTAAAAATACTTACTGAGTACATGGAGTCGATTGTACTCATGTTACACTTCTGCACCTTACGCGCAGATCTTGGGACTGATGCTATGGTACATGGTGGGAGTTGGCATTGAAGATGTACCCGTTGTCCTGACATGACTACCATTTGTCCTTGATAGTTTTAGATTTGAGTTCTGTTTATGTATAATTCAAACAGATATTGTATTTACTCATCATATCGATTTTGCAATCTAAATCGTAGTCACTCGTGACTTGTACTACCATTCTATAGGAAGTTTCAAATTAATTACGGTAGAATTATATTGATTATATTTGGCTTACCTAGCGGGTCGGGTTAGGTGTCATCACTATTAGGTGAATTTGGAATCATGACACTAAATCTGAGGAACCTTCAATTTAAGTCTTTGCAAATATGAAAGTTAAACTCATGGTTATCCATTAGTGTCCACTTTTAAGTGAATAATATGGATCTTATTCATATTTGACTCATTTTTAAAAAGTTTATTATTCAACCCAATTTTTAGTAAATAATATGGATGAATAATCATTTCTTTTATCCATTTTGCTACTACTACTCAAGATGATACTAATGGTACTAGTTTGATAAGATATTTCGAGTATTTCAATTTATCTTAGGGTAAAAACATAATATGAAAAAAAAAATTATAATTAAAATATGTATGTAGTATGTTCAAAGAATTATTGTATTGGCAACAGAGAGAATGCCAATTTGAAGCTTGTTTCCTTGTTTTGACAAGGGCTATCTAAAAGAAGGGTACTGGGTTCTTGAGGGGATTGGGTATGGGGAAAGGAGGGGGGAGGGGAGGTACCGGTAAGGGGTTGCCTTAAGGGGACTTTCGTAAAGAGGATTTAAGGGTACTTTTACAGATACCATATCAGTATTCCTACCGGTCCTAAGGGTATTTAAGGGGGCAACACATGTACTTAGGGGTATTTTAAAATTAAAATTTTAAAAATTATTATATTTAAATACAAACAAACTTTATTGGATGAAAATATTCAAGGCTATGAAGTGCCTTTTATTTTAATTAATGCAATATAAATATTAGATCTGTAATACAAGTTACAAGTATTCATTTGTATTTCATCACTTGTAAAAATAAAATTACATTTTTTTAACGATTTACGTAATTGTTTAATAATTTTTCGTGGTTCTTCGCTTTAAATTGGTAGCACTTGTCCTTCTGCGTCTCTGCCATCTCCGGTAGATAATATTTCATTATATGCATCGCCGTCTTCTTGAATTATTTCTGAAAGGCTAAAATAGTTTTTCTCTGCTTTAACCCAATATCTGAATAAAATGGTAGTCTCCAAGGTGTCTTATGCCAATGAGTGTCTGTGGTCTCCAAGTTAAAATCGTGATGCACTGGAAGTACTTTCGGAAGCTACTGATGAAGCTTGAATAATTAGCACATCTCGAGCCATTCTTGAAAGAATCAGAAATGTTTGTTCGTTCATTCTCCAATATTTCAACAGGTCTTCATTCCCTTCATAATCGCAAATATTAATTATTCCTACAATTAAATAAACATCAAACTCGTTAATGTGTGAAGATTGTACTTGAATAATCATTTGTCGAATAGTACCAAAAGATCTATTTGTAGCAGTCTTTTTAAGAGGCAGAGAAGAAGAAGAAGAAGAAGAAGAAGAAGAAGAAGAAGAAGAAGAAGAAGAAGAAGAAGAAGAAGAAGAAGAAGAAGAAGAAGAAGAAGAAGAAGAAGAAGAAGAAGAAGAAGAAGAAGAAGAAGAAGAAGAAGAAGAAGAAGAAAAGACACCACTAATTGATGCAACTAAGTTCATTTGTCTTTGGTAATAGTCATTCACAACTTTAGTATTTGGTTGAATACTAGCCAAACAAGCAGAAATAGATGATCTTGTGTTGGTTCTATTTCTAAACAACGATAAATCGTTTCAATAAGTATCTTTGCACCAATAACTTTGATTTGAGGATGTAAAACAAAATGTAAATAAAATAAAATTTTCAACCATTATTTTAATAACATCTTTATAGTCTTCTTTTGTTTATAATTAAAAAATAACATTGAAATTCCACCTATATAAAATAACATGCTAGAAATAGTTGGATAATATACCGTAGAAAATTCTTTAGTAGCATAGAAAAAAATTTCTAAAAAATGAATAAGATGAAAAAATGCTTGAAAAATTATACAAAAATAATTGAATGATAGAACGTTAGTTGCAATTAGAGATAGAGAGATATGAGAGATTCGTGTGAAAACTAAAAGAATAAAATGGGTTATTTATAGGTTTAAAGTAAGGCCTAAGTGTATTTGAACAAACCTAGGGGTTAAAAACATAAATTAGGGGGTAGAGGGGAGGCAAAAATAGTCATTTTTTGCTATTGCCAATGACTATTTTTTAAAAATAACTTTTGACTAACAGTAAAAAAATGGCTACATTTTAAAATAATATCTTAAGGGTACCGGTTTCGTACCGGACCAGTATCGGTCAGGTACCTTAAGGGTACTAACCAGACCTGTTCTACCAGTACTTTTTACGGTACCCTCCTAGTCCCCTTACCCTTTACCCAAATCCCCTACCCTTACCTCCAATTCGGATATGTATGGTGCGGTATTGGTACCCTACCCTTAGTGGGTCAAAACTTGCCCTGCCTGCCCCACCCCAATTGCCATCTCTAATTCGGGAATTGAGGGAGATAGGGGCCGAAATGGAGATAATTTTGGGCCGATCCACAGCTTCTTAACAGTAAAAATGGCATGAGGTAGCCACTATTTAAGGTGGTATTTATTTTATATCCAATAATTCTAATGTTGAGCAAAAATAGTCACTATTCTATTAAAATTAATATGAAAAGATATTTTTACCCTTTCTTCCATTGCTTTTCTTCCTAAGCCCTCGCTTCTCTCTCTCAAGTTCGATAACTATTGTTGGAATGAGAAGGAGGTGTCTCGTCTTTGTCAGATTCTTCAAGGGGATCATCAGGGTGATTTTTGGCATTTTTCTGCACGAGTTTTTGTTTTTTGGTTAAATTTAGGGAAGCCATTTGATAAACGGAGAGAGGAAGAAATGTTTTTTGAACTGTTTTGATTTTTGATTGGAATCTTTTGTTTTTATTTTCAAGTTGAGTACCAGTTAAATACTAAAGCATCAATGAAACTAATCGACAGAAAAACTTGTAGAAATGGCGTGGGTGTTGTTTAAAGGATTTGGTCCTTAATTTAGAGTTACAAACATAGAAATTAAGGATATGTAGTCCTTAACTTAGAGTTACAAGCACAGAAATTAAAGAAAGGTAGTCCTAAATTTAGAGTTACAAGCTCAAAAGTTAAGGACACTTGGTCCTAAACTTAGACTAACAAGCTCAAAAGTTAAGGACAATAGGTCCTGAACTTACAATTACAAGTTCAAAAGTTAAGGACACTTGCTCCTGAACTTAGACTAACAAGCTCAAAAGTTAAGGACAATAGGTCCTGGACTTAGATTTACAAGTTCAAAAATTAAGGACAAGTAGTCCTTAACTTAGAGTTACAAGTACAGAAATTAAGGACAGGTGGTCCTGAACTTCGAGTTCAAAGTTCAAAAGTTAAGGACATGTAGTCCTGAACTTAGAGTTACATGTTCAAAAGTTAAGGACATGTAGTCCTGAAGTCATGAACTTAGAGTTACAAGTTCAAAAGTTAAGAACACTTGGTCCTCAACTTTATGAGCAGAAGGGTGTTTTCGTCCGGGCAGGTAAAATTTATTAAAGCAGTGGCTAAAGACTAAAGATATTTTAAATACAATGGCTTAAAAGTAAATACATGTGTTATTAATGCATGTGTTACTTGCCGCTTCTTAACAACTATGAATTTGGGCCGATCCAAAAAGCTATCTAATTGAAGAAAACAATAAGAACAAAATATTAAAAAAGCATTGTAATTAACAGCTAACATAGACCTACCGTTCAACTTCATAGATCAATGATCACTTTTTTGGTGTAGAAAATCACAGATCAGAATTGAGTTTGAAGTTAAATCCTCCTCCTTTCTCTAACAGATAAAACTGATATGTGCTAAAATTCATAACAAAATTGTGATTTATACGTTGTTATATATCACAATTTTGTAGATTTCTTTGACTCATGTCTCTACTGAATCAACTCTTCAACAGGGGACTTCAAGGCTCAAAATGGTCAGTCAAAGACTCCATCTTTTTCTCTATCAAGAATTTAATTGATATATTTATTTGAATTCTTGGTTCATATGTAAGAAAAGGTAAGAGCTTAATGTTTATAGGCTTTTTAATTTCCTGAGATTTCAAATGGGTTGTGCAATTTGAGGGTATAAACAACTTTTAAGCTGCAATAATTCGTTTACATGAATCTGTTAATGTTTTGTTGAATCACAATTGATCTCATTAGATTGGAGTAGTATCCTTTAATGCTATAGTTAATCTTTCCATATAGCTTATAATGTTACAAACCAATTTTACTAATTATTCTTGTGACTATTAGAGAATGTAGAAAATTTCTAGCTTCAAAGAACACCTAATTAATCCGTAAAGAGAAATTACTAAGCATTGGAATGAAACTGGTCTGAATGAAGCAAAATGGTTAACGAGGATTCATAGTGCTGACCCCAACTAGTTCGGGAGTGAGGCTTAGTTGATGATATATTCTTGTGACTCTATCTGTGAATGTAACTATTGATATTGGTGGATGGTTTTGTAGCAAGACATGCTTGACCTTGGCGATTTCACGAATCAAATTATTACAAAACAAGAGAGATGCACAGCTCAAACTTATGCGCAAAGAGATAGCCCAATTTCTGCAGGCTGGCCAGGAAGCCATAGCTCGAATCAGAGTAGAAATTCTGGGATACTTGTACTTGTTAATCATTCCATTTACATATTCCTCTAACTGGTATTCCTCTGATTCAGGTTGAGCATATCATACGTGAGCAAAATGTATGGGCTGCTTATGAGATTTTGGAGTTGTTCTGCGAGTTCGTTTATGCTCGCGTGCCTATACTCGAAAGCCAAAAGTAAGTTATTTGTGGCTGGAGTTTGCTTTTCTCAAAGCAATGAAGTTTCATTACTTATTAGGTCTGCGACTCTGCGTTTTAATGACATTATTTAGCCAATTGAGATTAGGAGATGTTTTGTATTGGCAAATGTGGTTTATGTTCGTTGCGCTTTGTTTGCCAGAGACTTCACTGAGTACCTTTCTTCTTGCCTTTTCTTTTTCTCCTTTGAACAATTTGCCTATTCTCAGCTTAAAATAGCTTCAGATACCACTTTTTAAAAAGGAAACAAATTAGCTTCAGATACCCTTTTCAAGTTAATTTATTCACCCCTCACCTAAGTATAATATATGCAAGGTTATGCAGTTATTTTCTTGTTCTCCTCATTCAATTTCAGGGTTGGGGCGTGGGGGAGGGCGTTGTTGTAGGAGTATCCCCTTCCAATTAAACAAATATCTTCCACATGCTTTCTCCTCTAGGCTTCAATAGTTCTTTAAAAGTCTAATACTGTATATGCTTATTTATTTTTCTACTAACGATCAGTGCTACTTACCCAGATGAATTACTTTAGTAGTTTCTCTAAAACAATGAAAAGATGATTTAAACCCCATGCCCGCGGCGTTCTTTCTCTTCAAAAAGTTGAGGAAAGATGTGGACTCTTAGGTATTCAGAAAGAATGTTTTCCTTCTGTTTATTGAATTACCAGCTTTCAGAGGAAAATTAGGTAGCATTTGGTTAAAATAAGCCCTTTTGGCACGGGGAAAGCGCAAGAGGAGGAGCATAGTGCTGCCTCAGGAATGGATTCCCTGTGGCGAAGTGAAAGAGAAATATAGATAAAATTTATGCATACAGGTCCGTTATAGTAAGCTATATGTGAAAATATTGTTTTGTTATACGACATATTAGTATAGGAAGGCTTATACAATATCTGAAAACCAAATGAACTATTTTTTACAAGCTGTAACCTCAAGAGAGGTTTCTGTGTTTAACCCTCGTCACATTAGTACACATCCTTAACTAGCTCTAAATGTTGAATGCCCTTTCAGATTTTGACCAATGACTACTCCTGCAACATGACATGATACAACTGTTGGCTGTACAATCTTTCCGCTCTATCTAAATCTTAAGCTTCTGTCTCTCCATTTATTGTCATCTCTTCTTCTTTTGCAGCTATCCTTATTCTTGTTTCCTTTAATTTCAGCCTTTAGCACCAATATCATTTGCAAGCATTCATCTCTACAACAATCCTTAATCCCAATCTAGTTGAAATCAGCTATGTATATTCTCAATATACATTCTGATGTATGGTCCCCGGGGCTTTGGTCTTTGGTCTAGTGATAAGAGCTCAAGGTGAATTAGCCGCGTGTCATGGGTTCAAATCCTGTCACAGACAAAAGCCTGGAATATAAGTGGAGAAGGGTGATAGACAGGCCCATCATCCGCTGAGTTTCAGACCGTGCACCACAAGCTCTCGGAGATCTCTTGGTTTTTTTAATATATATATAAAATTCATTCTGCCTTATGTGGGTCCATTTTTTCCAATACTCAATAATTTCTCAATTCTATCAAATTACGGTTTTTTTAGAACTAGGGATTCTTTAAAATTCACACTTAATCTCTAGCCTGACATGCAATATCTAAACAAACTAGTAAAAGATGCTACCTAGTGTCCCAACAAGGACTAAACCGACTATGCAGATACTTCGCTTCCATTGTGTTTAGTTGTTCGTTAAATCCGCATATATTTCAAGAGGTAGGTCCTTTGAGATGCCTTCCTCCATGTAATTTTAGGTCTATCTCGTTCCCCTTTTAGTGTCCTTAGTCATCATAGTGTAACTCTTACGTATCGATGCATTTAGAGTTTTACATAGAGTAGACATGATCAAATCATCTTAAATGACTTTAAATTTACCTGCACCTTGGTCAAGTGTTATCTTTGGGCAGTTAAATTTATATCTTACGGCAAGCGTATGATCCTTCGCCAACTTGAACTTTTTGCCGAGGTTCGGTGACCTTGTTCCTTCATAAATGGCAAAATCTAAGTTGACCACCTAAGTAGTCTCTTTAAAGTCCTTTTATTTGACCTAGTAGGTGAAGAATGTAAGGTCCCACTAGGGAAAACACGTTATTAAGCAAGAATAGCTACATCTTCTCCCTTAGGCAGTTGCACGTTTCTACAAACTCATGTCCAGTGGTTTATTATTTACTGCAGCTGTCTAGTGGACACAAGAGTTTGTCTAATTAGTTTCTATAAGCTAAAATCTATATGTGATGAAATCTTGCAAATATCTCTTTTGGTGTGTATCAGAGAATGTCCTTCGGAGTTACGGGAAGCTGTTGCAAGTATAATCTTTGCAGCTCCAAGATGTTCAGATTTGCCAGATTTATTGCATGTCAGGAATCTATTTGCGGCCAAATACGGAAAGGAATTCATAGCCGCCGCATCTGAGCTTCGGCCTGATACAAGTGTTAACCGTACAGTTAATTAGCTCTCCTGTCTTCTTCATTGTGTTAATTGTATACTTGCAGGGTTGACTATTTTAAACTGAATTTAATTCTTTGAATATTCAGATTGTTGAGAAACTTTCAGTCAGTGCTCCATCAGCTGAAATAAAGCTTAATGTATTAAAGGAAATTGCAAGAGAGTACAATGTGGAATGGGATTCTTCTAACACAGAAGAAGAATTGCATAAAAAGCCAGAGGACCTTTTGGTACTTTCCTTTGTTAAATCTTCTAGTTGTATGTATGTCTTAAATGTTTAGTCCTCCATTAGAAGCTTGATCATTGTCTTAATTAGGGGTAGGGTCCATGGTCCATCTCTATTTTCTTCTGGAGTTCGCGACTTGCTTTTGCTTGTATGTGATGTTAATGATATGTCTAACATTTGTTATGCACAAACTCAAGAATGACAGGTTTAGCGTTTGTTACTGGACAGTAATCATATAAAGCATGCAATATGCTATGACATGGGTCTGACACCTAGCTGCTCGTTACATATACACGCATGTTTTGCAAAAGGGAAGGAGTTTAAAGTTCTGTAACTGGTTCTTAATGATATGTCTAACATTTGTTATGCACAAACTCAAGAATGACAGATTTAGCGTTTGTTACTGGACAGTAATCATATAAAGCATGCAATATGCTATGACATGGGTCTGACACCTAGCTGCTCGTTACATATACACGCATGTTTTGCAAAAGGGAAGGAGTTTAAAGTTCTGTAACTGGTTCTTATGCTGACACAGTTGAAACAATCTCTTAAATTGGTCAAAACCAGCCTTCAGCAATAGAAATTAGTTCTCGAGATTTGCTTGAACTAACATTAATGAACATTCAGAAGGATCATTTCCACAATATTTCACCATGTGTTGGGACATTATTGATTTAGACATTTAGTCAATTCTAGTACCC